TAATAAATGCACATTTTTTTATCTGCAAAAAAATGCGCATTTATTATTTTTTATCAAAAGGTGAACTTCTCCTTTTAAGGTAAAACCTTTCAATGGTCAAATGGTTAATTTGGACCTCCCTAGCAGCATAGTCTTACCTTTTGTATGTTTCCTCATTACTTTGTTCAGCCCCCAAGGCCAAAAGTATGTCCTGCATAAGTTACGAGTCAATGGAGTTGCAATATAGACAAAAGCATTGGAAGCCCATGTGACAGGACCGATTGTTCCAGCACTTTTACATGGAGCAGGTCACATGCTTCTCCATCCCCAAAAGTTCCTTTGGCTCTGGGCATGGCGGGTGAGTGAAGGTGTAAAGAAATATAAGAATATGGTGAGGAGAGGTGAAGGATTAAAGCAAACTTGTTGTTTGCCCTGAATAGACAAAGCACGTTTCCTTTAGGACAGTGTTTCTCAACCTTTTTTCAGTCAAGGCACCCTTTAAAATTATGGACAGCCTTGAGACACTCCATCAAATGTAAAAAACTATTCTAGGTGATTTAATCTTCCAAATCAAATACATTTTTGCACACTGGTACTGATTAGTATTCCAGTGTTTCTCTTCTCCCACAGTTTTTCTCCAATGCTCAGCTAATGTGACCCCAGTGCTAATGGAGAGGGACAGGGGAGGGGCAAACAAGGATGCCGTGCAAACGACCAACATCCTCCTTATCAACTGATGATGTCAATGGTTGTAGGGAAGCTGGTGGCTAGAAGGTTGTAATGATGCATAATGAAAGCCTGTGGCTTTGTGTAACTGAAAAAAGGCAGGCTTGATCCACCTTCTGGCTTGTATACAATTTTTGGGCACTTTTTAGGCATTTTGCCAAGGCAACCCTGAAGAAACCTCAAGGCTTCGCAGGGTGCCTGGATACCCTGGTTGAAAAGGCTGCTTTAGGAATATGGTACTTTCAGTTAAAATTTCCTGTTAAAATGACAGATAGTTCCAGAGATTCAGTAATCTGATAACTGTCTGGCCTCAGTAAACTGCAGGGAGGGGAGTAGGGATTAGAGTCAAGCTCAACCTTTATAGGAAAATTGAAGGTTTGTTCATCATTTCAGCTTCTTACATCTTTAGATCTATTGATTGTTGTGACAAGAGCTTTTTCACTGTAGGTGATGACTTAGCTCAGCCTGAACTATCCACATGTGTTACCGGGACCAATTGTACAGTTTTCAAATTGGTGTTTTTATATCACCTTTTTTTACTGTAAAATGCATTTGTTTTAAAAATAAAGATGTACAGTGATATATGACAAAAAATCTTGCCGGTACATAGATAGGAGAAGTAAGGATGAGTCTTTGCTCTAAATGTACCTCCCAGCAATCTGAGATGGGAAACAGGGACTACTCTCCTCAATCCCCAATGATGTTGGTCATGACAAATTACAAATCCAAATTGTTCATTAAACCCACTTAGCCTTTTTCACACCTACTATACCTGTAATTTAATTTTTGTATTTCCTAATAACCAATGCAATAATATAAAGGATACATCAAAAGGTCCAATGTAAATAAATGATAAATAATACATTTAGTTATAGAGATCTTTACACCAGAGTTAAAAGAGGGACATTTAAGGAAGAATGAAAGACAGCAGATTTGTTTCCAAAAGGAGGATAGTCCCTCTGAATGCGGAACAGTTTGGATCTCTGCTGTGACTTATTTGTGTGTATAAATTTCAGCTTGATTTATTAAGCTTCATAAAGAACAGGCTTTTTACAACGGAAGGTAAGAAAAAACTAGAAAACACATAAAAATAAGTTTTCTGCCCCAAATGTCATTTAGTGACAACATACTTCCCAAGACCCAATCTATATGAACTGTATGACAACTTGTTGACAGAACAAGATATCCACAGCTAGTTTCAACTCACCAAGAACACTTAACAGTGAAATTCAGTGTAGTTTATTTCAGCCTGGTATATTAAAATGTATTATCTTGAGTTTTCTTAAAGGCTAAAAAGCATATATATCCAAAAGCTTTCTAACTCTTCATGGGGAGAAACAACATTTACCAGTAGCTGGGTTGGTTTAGGAGTGGCAACTATGAACTATTCTAATTAGCAGACAGAAGGGGACAACAGGGAAACATAACCAAAAATAAACAGATGACTATAAATCAGGCAGCTGTGGCAGCACAATGAGCTTAAAACCTAAGTTTAGATAAAACAAACGCTTAAAAAAAATCAACCCAAAGGACATCACACACCATCAGTGTGATATGTCCTTTTGTGCTGCTCTCATCTCTTTAGGAGAAATCCACCTCTGAAGGCCCCCCTCCATCCTGGAAGATTGAAGCAGCAGGTGTTAAAGGAATTGAGGGAGCTCTGACAGGCACTCGGTAGTGCCCGACTATGCCCACCCTTTCCATCCACCTCCTCTATTCATAGAAGTCATGCTATAGCTTCTATGCATAAAACATAATATACACTACAGTATATTGCCAAAAGTATTGGGATGCCTGCCTTTATAAGCACATGAACTTTAATGGCATCCCAGTCTTAGTCCATAGGGTTCAATATTGAGTTGGCCCACCCTTTGCAGCTATACTGTATCAGCTTTAACTCTTCTGGGAAGGCTGCCCACAAGGTTTAAGAGTGTGCCTATGGGAATGTTTGACCATTCTTCCAGAAGTGCATTTGTGAGTCAGGCTGATGTTGGACAAGAAGGCCTGGCTCACAGTCTGCGCTCTAATTCATCCCAAAGGTGTTCTATTAGAACTCTGTGCAGGCCAGTCAAGTTCCTCCACCCCACACTTGCTCATCCATGTCTTTATGGACCTTGCTTTGTGCACTTATGCACAGTCATGTTGGAACAGGTAAGGGCCATCCCAAAACTTTTCCCACAAAGTTGGGAGCATGAAATTGTCCAAAATGTCTTAGTATGTTGATGCCTTAAGAGTTCCCTTCACTAGAACTAAGGGGCCAAGCCCAATCCCTTAAAAACAAACCCCACACCATAATCCCCCCTCTACCAAACTATACACTTGGCACAATGCAGTCGGGAAAGTACAGTTCTCCTGGCAACTGTCAAATCCAGACACATCCACCATATTGCCAGGCAGAAAAGCGTGATTCATCACTCCAGAGAACACGTCTTCACTGCTCTAGAGTCCAGTGGCAGCATGCCTTACACCACTGCATCAGATGCTTTGCATTGCACTTGGTGATGTAAGGCTTGAATGCAGCTGCTCAGCCATGGAAATCCACTCCATGAAGCTGTCTATGCGCTGTTGTTGTACTAATCTGAAGGCCACATGAAGTTTGGAGGTCTTTAGCTATTGACCCTGCAGACAGTTGGTGACTTCTGCGCACTGTGCACTTCAGCATGCGCTGACTCTGCTCTGTCATTTTACGTGGCCTACCACTTCGTGGCTGAGTTGCTGTTGTTCCCATTTGCTTCCATTTTGTTATAATACCACTAACAGCTGACTGTGGAATATTTAGTAGCAAGGAAATTTCACTAAATTTCATATGGACTCATTGCACAGGTGGCAACCTATCATGGTACCACGCTACCTCACTGAGCTCCTGAGAGCGACCCATTCTTTCACAAATGTTTGTAGAAGCAGTCTGCATGCCTAGGTGCTTGATTTTATACAACTGTGGCCATGGAAGGTAATTGGAACACCTGAATTTAATGATTTGGAGGGGTGTCCCAATACTTTTGGCAATATAGTGAATATATGGCGGACAGGAAGATGAATGGATGGTGTTTTATTTACGTGAAGATTATGGCAGCAGAGAAGGGGGCATCAAAGGAAGAGGATTTCTACTAATCCAGACAATCCAGTAGCATAAGGGACATATAACATTGATAGTAAGTGATGTCCCTTGTGCAGCTTTTTTAAAACTTAGACTTATGCTTTAATGCTCCATCTATTTGCTGTAAATGGAATAGTTAGAATAGGTAACACCTTATGCAATATTTTACAGTATATTCCCTGACTTATATTTTTTTAATTGTACTTTTCCTGACAGACTCCATGGCAGCATACGTATGGGTTAGTCCCACCCTCTCTTCTCCTATAGGACCCCACTCCCATAAATCTTTGCTCCTTGCCAGAGGCTGCGTTCCATTTTTGTCCTCCTCCTATGAACCTAGTGGAAGTCTTACCTGGTTCCCGCATACAAGATGGTCCGCGATCAAGGCCTGGCGAGGCTCTCCAGGAGATGCGAGGTGACGAGCGCTTGTCAGTTCCACGGGTCCCCAGCTAAAGACGGGCTATTGAACGTGGTGGATGGATGCGGTGCCGGAAGTGGCAGAGCAGGCTTCCCCTCAATTCCAGCATTCCCCAACTAATAGCGGGGTGGAATTGGGTGAGCAGGAGTCGGTGCCTGAAAGAGCTCAGGTCTGCCAATGGCGGGTGAGCTGCACTTGGGCCAGATAGCCTGCTAATAGCGGGTGGCCATGTAGCACCCCGATCGGAAGAGTCGGTCTCCAAGTCAGGTGGTCATGGCTGTGCGGGGTTGGTAAGCAGTGCCAGTGTTCGGGTTTCATTTTTTGCTCCTTATTTGTCTTCCTATTCTTTCCTTGGTGCTAGTTGGTGCCTGGAGTGGAATGCTGCGCTCCAGGATGCTGCTTCCGGTGCAGTCTCCAGCGTACTGCACATGTGCGAGTCAGCCTCGGAACGAGGCTTGGTCTCGCGTATGTCCAGTATGGCAAGATGGCGGCATGCACGCGGGTGTCCCGGGGTCCTGCACATGCGCAGTATGGCGGCGGTGTCATCACAGCTTTGGCGGCAGCTTCCCTAAGTGCTGTGGTCCACTGTGAAGGTCAGTACCTGTCCCTCCTGCCTCCCCCAATGGTCTGCTGGGATTTTGCATGTCATGTTTTTTCTTAGTTTGTGTCAGGGCTCCAGGAATGACCAGAGGTGTGTGGACCGACACAGGGAAACACAGACTTCAGGTATAGCGTGTAAACAAGATAATTTATTAAGGACAACACAAACATAAATGCAGTGCAGACAGAGACACATCAGGCTGGGCAGCGGACAGAGGCACATCAGGCTGGGCAGCGGACAGAAGCACATCAGGCTGGGCAGTGGGCACCGGCCATCAGGCGAGGCAGCGGGCACCGAGTCATCGGGCAGAACAGCGGGCACCAGGTCACCAAGCTCGACAGCGGGCACCGAGTCACCTGGCACGACAGCGGGCACCCAGTCACCTGGCACGACAGCGGGCACCCAGTCACCTGGCACGACAGCGGGCACCGAGTCACCTGGCACGACAGCGGGCACCCAGTCACCTGGCACGACAGCGGGCACCGAGTCACCAAGCTCAACAGCAGGCACCGAGTCACCAAGCTCGACAGCGGGCACCGAGTCATCTGGCACGACAGTGGGCACCGAGTAATCTGGCACGACAGCGGGCACCGAGTCACCAAGCTCGACAGCGGGCACCGAGTCATCAAGCTCGACAGCGGGCACCGAGTCACCAAGCTCGACAGCGGGCACCGAGTCACCAAGCTCGACAGCGGGCACCGAGTCACCTGGCAGGACAGCGGGCACGAGTCATCTGGCACGACAGCAGGCACCGAGTCATCTGGCACGACAGCAGGTACCGAGTCATCTGGCACGACAGCGGGCACCGAGTCACCTGGCTCGACAGCGGGCACCAAGTCACCAAGCTCGACAGCTGGCACCGAGTCATCTGGCAGGACAGCGGGCACCGAGTCATCTGGCACAACAGCAAGACACCGAGTCACCAAGCACGACAGCGGGCACCGAGTCACCAAGCTCGACAGTGGACACCGAGTCACCAAGCTCGACAGCGGGCACCGAGTCACCAAGCTCGACAGCAGGCACCGAGTCATCTGGCAGGACAGCGGGCACCGAGTCACCAAGCTCAAAAGCCGGCACCGAGTCATCTGGCACAACAGCGGGCACCGAGTCAACTGGCAGGACAGCGGGCACCAAGTCATCTGGCAGGACAACGGGCACCGAGTCACCAAGCTCAACAGCAGGCACCGAGTCACCAAGCTCAACAGCGGGCACCGAGTCATCTGGCACAACAGTTGGCACCGAGTCACCAAGCTCGACAGCGGGCACCGAGTCACCAAGCTCGACAGCGGGCACCGAGTCATCTGGCAGGACAGCGGGCACACCGAGTCATCTGGCACGACAGCGGGCACCGAGTCATCTGGCCCGACAGCGGGCACCGAGTCATCTGGCAGGACAGTGGGCACCGAGTCACCAAGCTCGACAGCGGGCACCAAGTCATCTGGCAGGACAGCAGGCACCGAGTCATCTGGCCGACAGCGGGCACACGAGTCATCTGGCAGGACAGGGCACCGAGTCACCTGGCTCGACAGCGGGCACCAAGTCATCTGGCAGGACAGCGGGCACCAAGTCATCTGGCAGGACAGCGGGCACCGAGTCATCTGGCAGGACAGCGGGCACCAAGTCATCTGGCAGGACAGCGGGCACCGAGTCACCTGGCAGGACAGCGGGCACCGAGTCACCAAGCACGACAGCGGGCACTGAGTCATCTGGCACGACAGCTGGCACCAGTCATCTGGCAGGACAGCTGGCACCCAGTCATCTGGCACGACAGCTGGCACCGAGTCACCAAGCTCGACAGCGGGCACCGAGTCATCTGGCACGACAGTGGGCACTGAGTCATCTGGCACGACAGCTGGCACCCAGTCACCAAGCTCGACAGCGGGCACCGAGTCACCAAGCTCGACAGCGGGCACTGAGTCACCAAGCTCGACAGCGGGCACTGAGTCATCTGGGTAGAACAGTGGGCACCGAGGCACCAGGCCGGACCACGGGACCGAGGAACCAGGCCGGACCGGTTGGATCACAGGAACTGGATCATCGAACACCGGGTCATCAGGCCTGGATCGGGTCATCAGGCTGGATTGGGTCATCAGGCTGGATGGGTCATCAGGCGGATGGGTCATCAGGCTGGATCGGGTCATCAGGCTGGATCACGAACGCCGGGTCATCAGGCTGGATCGGGTTGTCAGGCTGGATCAGGTCATCAGGCTGGATCACGGACACCGGGTCATCAGGCTGGATCAGGTCATCAGGCCGGATCGGGTCATCAGGCTGGATCACGAACACCGGGTCATCAGGCTGGGTAGCGAGCTGTCAGGCTGGGTAGCGGGCTGTCAGGCTGGGTAGCGGGCTGTCAGGCTGGGTAGCGGGCACCAGGATCATCAGGCTGGGTAGGATCATCAGGCTGGGTCATCAGGCTGGGTAGGATCATCAGGCTGGATCGGGTCATCAGGCTGGATCACGAACACCTGGGTCATCAGGCCGGATCGGGTCATCAGGCCGGATCACGAACACCAGCTCATCAGGCTGGATCGGGTCGTCAGGCTGGATCGCAAAACACCGGGTCATCAGGCTGGATCGGGTCATCAGGCCAGATTCGGGTCATCAGGCTGGATCACGAACATCGGGTCATCAGGCTGGATCGGGCCGGTAGGCTGGGTAGCGGGCCGTCAGGCAGGCTGGGTAACGGGCACCAGGTCATCACGCTGGATAGGTTCATCAGGCTGGATTGGGTCATCAGGCTGGATCACGAACACCGGGTCATAAGGCTGGATCGGGTCATCAGGCTGAATCGGGTCATCAGGCCGGATCGGGTCATCAGGCCGGATGGGGTCATCAGGCTGGGTAGCATACACTGGGGCATCAGGCATCAGGGCATCAGGCTGAACAACGGAAGGCGGGTTCTCAGACAGCAGGCTGACCGGTTTGGATACTGGTAGGATGGTACTGGTTGGAAAGAATTTTTGGCTTTTTCTTGGGTTTAGTTACTGAGGCACTGCAAGTAAATGCAGGTCTGTAAATGGATTGAGTAGCTGGGGACAGAGAAGAGCTGGAGGATGGAACAGAGGAGGGGATAGTTGTTACAGCGGCCTTTTTTACAGGGTTAAAGGCAGGATAGGTGCAGCGAGTGGGAACAGGGTACTGACATGTGGTAGATAACAGGGTATACTGGGCTGTCACTGGGGGTGCTGTTGGGAATGCAGGAATAGAGCTTTGAGCAGAGGAATGATTAGAAGCAGGACGGGTTTGTTGCAAGCTGACTGAGGCTGGGTGTAACAAGTCTGACCAGGACTGTAGTATTGGTTGAACAAAGCTCAGCTTACACATAGCCTGTCTGACCAAAGACTGCACTGCGTTTACATACACTCCACTAGCACATGTGGTGACCATGCTGAATAATGTTCCCAGAAGCAATCCAGATCATCCTCCAACAACCATACCAGTGATTCTATTTGATCCATACTGAATGGTGGAAGAAAGTCATCCCTGCTTTCAGGGGTACTAGATGAAGTCAACTCAACACAAGCCTGAATCAATGGTTGTACCTCAGAGAACTCCGTGCCCTGATCTACTAGGGAATGAGCGACCTGTATGCACTCTAGCAGCTGATCACTGGTATACTCCTGCAGAGTCTGATAGGCATATTCTCTGTCATCTAAGACTAGCAAATACAAGTATATACCTCCTCAGGATGCATCCTTCCCAACAACAAGTCAAGATGGCTTCCCTGTGCAGCCAATTCTGGTCAGGAATGGCCTTGGTGTAATGTCAGGGCTCCGGGAATGACCAGAGGTGTGTGGACCGACACAGGGAAACACAAACTTCAGGTATAGCGTGTAAACAAGATAATTTATTAAGGACAACACAAACATAAACGCAGTGCAACAAACCAAACCCAAAACTAACACAAATACATACAACAAGGTGAAACAAACCCAAACCTAAACTGATATATATATATATGGAGCACAACGTAGTCAGGTGGGCTGGGTCGGTAGCTAACGGGCAAACAGGGTATCAGGAGCGAGCAGAAGAGTGGTCAGGAATAGCCGAGGTCAGGACAGACGGAGTTCGTTCAGAGTCAGGATCAAAGCAGGATCAGGCAGGAGGCAGGAAGCAGGTACAGGGGCTCATGGGAAACATACACCAAGGCACTGATCACAGGCCTGGTCCTGCTTAAATACACCTCCTGCAATCAGCCTCAGGTGATAGCCTGATTGCAGGAGTGGGATTCTGGCTGCTGAGAGCACCCGCTGGCCAGCCTTGGTACTGCAGCCCACAAGGCAGGTGAGTCCCACCACCATTGGCGAGTCCATTCCTGACAGTTTGGTTGTCTTCACAGCTGACCCAGCATGGATGTGTCACTGCCTCCTTGTGGCCAGCCCCTGCACACAGTAGGTACAGACAGACGGCTTTAGCCCCTTGATTCCCCACTGGCACTTTTCTGTGGCTTTTAACTATCCCTCGTTCTGTGTCTTTTTTTTTTTTCTCTCTCTCTCAGTCCTCCTAGGTATGATCACCACTATGCAGTGCACAATGATGGAAGTGCGTCCAGGTCTCAGCACCATTATTCGTTCTCGCCAAAGGTCTCCTTCCAGCTCCAGGTGTCATCGGAGAAGCTCTCGCGCCTCCTCCAGGTATCATGATAATGGGCACTCCAGCCGCTCCAATAGGAAAACTTGCTGGGGGTGCGATTCTCTGGTTCCTGATGACAGGTCATTATGTGACTCCTGTTTTGCACAGGCGGCAGAGAAAGCACCAACCAACAGGTAGAGGCTTTGGTCAGATGGGTCTTTCAAGAGTCCCTAAAAGAAATTGGGACTAGTTAGCGCCCACAGCCCATAGGTCAGGGTGTGCTCCCCTCCCAAAGATCCCCAAGAGGGATTGGAGCCTTCACAACCTAGCTACCTGTCAGCTGGAGCCTCAGATAGTTTGGCAGAGAGTGTGTGGGCTTTGATTTCACCTTGGTCTCGCCCCTAGTCAAAGCTGTAAAGAGGCCCTGAAGTGGGAAGAAGCTGTGGAGTCTCCCTCTAAACACAGGAAATTCTTTAGATATCTAAGGAAGGTTTGTCCAAATTTTCCATTCCTGGAGGAGCTCTGGGAAATTTTCACTGAGGACTGGAGCAATGTTGATAAGAGGGCCTTCTTGCTGAATAAAGCAGCCAAACTTTATCCTTTCAAGTCAAAGGACATCAAAAACATCTAGAATTGGCCCCCCTGGTGGATGTGGCCTTGATGAGACTAGCCAAGCACGTTACCTTCCCTCTCGAGGATTCGGTGTCCTTCAAGGATAACCTGGAAAAGGATCGATTCCGATCTCAAGCAAATCTACACTACGGCTGGGATGGCTTGCAAGCCGACGCTTGGCTTAGCGGCCTTGTCTAAAGCTATGGAAGTGTGGTCGGATAATGTGGATGCAGCCCTCAGAGGAGTTCCAGAAGAAGTGGGCAGGAATTCAGGTATTCGGGAACTGAGGCATCTGCCTTTCTGGGGGAGGAAATGATCAACCTTACCTACCCATCTGCTGAATCAGGTTATGCTGTCCTTAGTGACAGCCAAGCGTGCATTGTGTCTTCGACCCTGGCTGGCTAATCCAGTCTCTAAGCAAGCATGGTACAAGATCCCCTTTGAGGGTTCCTCCCTGTTCGGGAACAAACTGGACAGTGCTATAGCCCGGGCTACAGGCGGGAGATCCAGTTTCTGGCCCCAGGAATGGCATCTGCTAGGCTAGAAGAGGGCTCAGCCCAGAAGTCAATGCTCAGAATGAGGGACGCAAGCCTCTACACGCCAGGCCGCAAATTCAAGAGAAGCTGGAAAAGAAGTCAATCATCTTTTCAGACATTTTCCAAGGGCTCGACCTCTAGAGGTCATGAGGCCACAAAGTCCTTTTGAGATTGGGCCCGCTCAGGCAGGCCGAGTGGGGGCACGCCTTCACCATTTTTGGCATATCTGGGCAGCTTCAATCCCGGACTCCTGGGTCATCAACGTGATATCATTAGGTAATGCTTGGGCCTTCATTCCGAGGAAAGGAGGGAAATCCTGCTGGCCTACATTGACTCTCTGCTGGTGCAGGGTGAAGAATTTCAGGGCATTTACTAGCTCCTCTTTTTTTGTCCAGAAGAGAAATGAGGCCTGGAGGCCGGTTATAGGCTTCACCCAACTAAATTCCTTTATCAGGAAGTCAAAATTCAAAGTGGAGACACTGTTCATAATTCAACAAGCAATTCAACCAGGAGATTGACTCCCCTTTGGGCTTTCAACATCACCTCGGGTGATTTTAAAAGTCTCGTTGACAGTCGTAACCCTGATCAGAACCAGAGGCATTCGCCTGCACCACTACCTAGACGACCTGCTCCTACTGTCCCACGACAGAGTACAGCTACTACAGCACAGAGCCCACATCATCTCGACCCTTCTCGAGTTTGGGTGGTTGCTGAATTTGGAGAAGAGCCAGTTGGAGCCCACGCAGTCTCTAATATTGCCCGTGGAGAAGAGTCCGGTGATCCGGAGCTGAATTCTACCTGCCCTGCCTTCCTCACATCTTTGGGCCCTCTGATGCCTGAAGATCATTGGCACCATGATGTCCACAGTGCCGATGGTGAAGTGGGCACAGTGGAGAATGCGACCCTTCTAGAAAGGCTTTCTTCAA